CTCAGAAAGTGCGTTCGAAGTGATGCAAGTAAAATTAATTTACAAGCTGTGGTTGCCTATCAGGTAACTCGCTGAGGTATCCCATTACAACTATATATACCTATCAACGATTCCGACCCTGTCCAGAATTCCGAGATCACGGTCAAAATTTGAGGGCAGGTAACTAACTAGCACGTTTTCTTTAATGTTACAGCACAAGGCAACCATGTTATTATCTCCAAACAGATTTTGTCAAACCCCAGAAGGGCACCTAACTGGACCAAAATGTAATCAATAACTGATGGTTACTACGGTAATACCAGTTTCAATGCACGGTCAATATTGCGTAGCTGTCAAAATGTAAATACTTATGCTAAGAGAAGGCGTGCACAGGATACTTCACTTGTGTGTGTAGGCTACATGTCGTAAGTTGCCGTCTCGTAATTTTGATATTAAATTTGCTTGCTTGGATACAACAGCCTGACCTACTACTGTGTATAAAATCAGGCTTGGCGGCTGAATCCCCCCCACCCCATCCTCCTGGCCGGTCTGGATAGATAAAGATACTTGTAACAGTGATTACATTTATTTTCAGTCACAATTGTTCAAAATATTTTTACTATTGGTGCATATTTTATGCTTCTCCAAAGGGAACCAAAGATAAAACCCGACAGGTGGGTGCTTCAGTCCCCACCCTAAAGACAGGTTGCATTCGACCAAAACTAGCCTTACCCCCCCCCCCTCCGCCTCCACCCTCCGTCGTCGCAACCACCCGTACACAACAAGGAATTTTGTTTCCTTTTGTATAGGATAGTGGGCTCTCTGGTTTTGTCATTTTTAAAAGAATTTTACGGTCACGCTTTGTTAGACATGCACAGATATTGAACACTCGTGAGCATGCATTGTAAACAACCACAAGGCAGTTTAAAAATCTAGGAGCAAATGTATTGTTAAGAAGTCAATAAAAACCTTCATCGCCAATTGCAACTATTGAAGGTCGCAATCCTTTTCCTTTCCATGATTATTTCCAGCTTCCTCATACATTTCCGACATAACAAATTACGCCATTTTAATATATTTTGGATTGCAACACACAGATGTATCAAGATCCGTCTCAACACCTTCGACAGCAAGACCTATTTTGGAAATCATTTCCGCTCACCTCTTTCCTGAGTAAACACTTCCCCAGACGTCTGAAAATCTGCACTCTTTCCTCTGTCTGTTGCTACTCGAACCTTTGGGTCAAGAAATTGCTTTTCAAAG